ACACACATTATAAATATATATATACATATATATAATATATACAGATATATTATATATATATAAATATATATATAAATATACCAAAACACACATGTATACATATATATAAATATATATAGACACATATATACATATTGTATAGATATATATACATATATATATAGATACACATACATACATATATAGTATATATATATATATATCTATATCTATATATATAAACCCATTATTGACAGCATTGTTAACGAAGGTAGCTGTGAACGAACATCATTTTACTGCATCGATAATTGTACACTCCTGCCATGGGACAGAATACCTGAGTTGATCCACATTCCACACATACTTCACTTCCATCACTATTTGAAAATGCTTCCTTTTGTTATTGCTCAAGAAGCGCAGGCCTCTCTGGCAGCCGGGCACTGTTTTCTAAGGACGAGGTACAATGACACGATTCTCCAAATAGTTCTCGTCTTTGACAGCAATGAGACAATAAACGTACACGACACCACAGGTCTTAGAACAGGGTGTTTAATCCTGTTACTATTTGATTTTTTTTTTTTACTTAGTTCAGTCAGACTATTCGAGCTCCTTTCAGAGTGTTTATAACCACAGCTTTTATCACTAGAAGAGTCGTCACCTGACAGCTGACAGCTGACAGCTGACAGCTGACAATCTCTCAGTTTCAGTTTTGAGTCATAGTGCCATCAAAAGAGATCGCAGATAGAGAAAGGAGGAGAGGAGGTTACGGGGAGCAGATTTTGTAAGCAGAGTAACAGTGGCGTTACATACGAGAATAGCTGGAAGCACATTCTTGTCTTGGAGTGAAAGAAGAAGAAGAAGAAGAAGAAAGGTCAAAAGGAAGTTGAGTTGGAAGACAAAAAAAATATTTTTTTTTTATTTTTAAAAAAAACATTATTAACAGTGGGTGTAAAAACTGCAAACGCCTATAAATACATAATCAAGAGACAACCAACAAATTCATTTAGGAGAAGAAACAGAAGAAGAAAAAGATCTCACAGCACCAGATGGTACCAGGGATGCAAATGAAGAAGGTCTGAAGCAAAAGTCATAGTCACAGGAGGAAGAGACAGAGGAAGAGTTCTCGAGATAAAAAAAACAATAACATCCTCAAATAAAGTACACAGGGTGCAGTTTGGAAATGTCAAATGATCAAAATACTGACAATAAAGGAACACAGATTTTTTACATATAATTCAGTCAGATATTACGGTAGATATAGTCGGTACCGAAACCACTAGTCTGCACAAGAAATGGCTAATTCTTACTTAATAAACATAATGTCATAATGTCACTGAAAGAAAACCAAAATTGTGTATATATATATATATAAAATATATAAATATATAAAATACATATATGCATATATATTTTAATATATACATATATGTATATATATTTTAATGTATATACATTAAAATATATATACATATATGTACATATATATAAATATATACATTATATGTATTTTTTTTTTTTTTTTGAAGGAAGAACTGGAGAGAAACGAGTGGGCATCTCTATTATAGATTGTGCTTCAGTGACTGGAAACTTAACGTGTTTTTGTTAATGACTAACAACGTTGACCTTTAGCAAGTTATAGTATAGAAGAAGAAAATATGGGCCAGAAAAGGAAAGGGGTAAAAAATGCGCTTCAAGTTTTCAAGTAATAATAGTATGACTATTAGCAAATTAATTACGATTAGCGCAAAATAAATAGGTTCAAATACGAATTTGAATGAGTGCAGTGAACATTTTGGGAACAGAAATGTGTGGTGGTATTTTTGTTTTTTTGTGAAGAAAATTCTTCATAATATTAGCAAATTAATTATGATTAGCGAAAAATAAATAGGTTCAAATACGAATTTGAATGAGTGCAGTGAACATTTTGGGAACAGAAATGTGTGGTAGTATTTTTGTTTTTTGTGAAGGAACATTTGAGAATTCAAAAACAAGCAGAAATGACGTGTGTTTAAAAAAATATTTATCGCATTGAAAAATCGAAATATTACACTATTTCCTAATAATTTACAGTCGGTTTCCCAGGTTACTAAGGAATAATGAATAATGTGTCAATGTGTTTCATGACAAACGCGGCGCAGTCACGCACATCATTGTGAAACACTGAACGCCGCGTTGTTGTGTCACAGTTGCAGAATGTGTGGCATGGAGGACGCAGGACTGATGAATGTGACCACCACTGTGTAAAAAAAAAAAAAAAAAAAAAAATACCTGCAAGCCATTGACTATGAAACATAGAATGCAAACCATTCGCTATTGAACTTCTTTTTTTTTAAAATTAATTTAGAGAAAGAAAAACTAGACAAAACATAATAATAAGGTTTGTCAGTCAGGACCTAAAGACGCTACATGTAAATAAACAGTGTTGAAGGTCTGATAAAGAACTCTGCGCTCTGCATAACAGTGTGCCAAGAATGCAGTTCCACGGCATTCCCTTCATGACCTGAGCACAGACAGGTCTCTGTTACCCAGAACTTTTTTTGTTGTTTAGCCATCGCAAACATCACATGACACATCGTTATATTTTATTAGTTTGGAAAAAAAAACAAAAAAAACCATTCAGCGTCCTGCAGAACAACGAACGACGCGGTAATCTCTCAGGTCTATAGAAACCCAAACAGCGGTCACGGTCTTAAACGCTGAATACGTGTGTGTGTACTAAGGTTACATAAACAACATGCCTCGTTGCATATACAGTAATATAATTGCTGTGATTATTTCACGTGTGCTGAGAGATCTAGGTGATCGAGGTCCTGTAGGTGATAATAGTCACAATCACAGATAATCACAGGGTTTAACAGGTCTGGCACAGAGAACTCAGAGCAGGGGCGTCCAAACGTTGCTGTAGGAAGTTGAACTTTTGATGTGGTGAAAACCAGGACTGGGTAAATCAATGTAATTTCCGTCATGCCCCCCCCCCCGTTGAGGACAGAAATGTTTTCACGCTCCCCTTCCGACCCACACCGTCGCAAATATATATATATATATTTATATATTTATACAGTGGTCCCTCACCTATCGCGGTACTTGCATATATATACACATGTATACATACATAAATTCATATACATATATACATATATGTATACATATGTACTGTAAATATATAAATACATATACATATATATGCACATATATACATAGCATATACAGTATATATATATATGTGCATATATATGTATATGTATTTATATATTTACAGTACATATGTATACATATAT